AGAACTCTATAACCAGAGAGCACGGACACGGTGAGTAAAGGGATGCGGGATCCAGGAGGATGGCTGGAAAAGGCTGGGAGGATGAACCCTCCGGGCTATGATTAAACTACCCATCTGACCTGCACTGTTTCTCTCCCTGCCAGAGCCCCCTGACTCCCGAGCTATCCTTGCTTCCCGCAACAGCCCCCACAGTTCCACTCAGTCGCTCGGGATCCTCTGTTTGACGCAATGCCTAGCAGAGCGCCCTGCACACAGATGTTACTAATATTTGTTGGTTTCACCTGAAGCTTTAACCAAGTACGATGATTACAACAAAGACACACAAACACAACTGAAGAATGTTTCTAATAATGCCCAGCACTCACCAATATTATAACACATCTCTACTTTTTTTTTTTTTTTTTTAAATCAGAACTACCCTTTACAAGGGGGTAATCGTTTTTTTCTCTTACCCTCTCAGCTCCTTTGAGCCAGGTCCCCAATCACAAAGCATGAAGATATAAACAGAGGAAAGGCTTCAACCAACCTACTTCTATTCTTTGGATTAACTTCCCAAGATGCTCAGGGCTAAAGCAAATTACTTACTTTGTTTAATGCCATTTTCATCCATCCCACAGACCAAGTCTGACTGCCCTGCTGGCAGCAAAGGCATCAGAAGATGGAACATCTACTCTCACACAGCATCCCAAGTCACTACCATATTGTCTTTCTATTCTCATCTCATAGTTATCACTACCTGATATTCTTATTTACTTACTGTTTACAGCCCATCTCCAGGGCAGGTTCCTTTTCTCCCTTGCCCACAACTGCATCACCCATGCCTAGAAAACCGTCTATAAACACCTGTTAATGAAAACCAGAACACGCACAGAGGGCCTCCGTCCCCATTCAGGGATGTGATGTGCAAACATGGAAACCACCTTCCCATCAGGCGCTGTGGCACTCAAGTGTTCCAACGATCTTCCGCCCTTCCCTACAGAACAGCTTACACGTGCACACTACAATAAGGATATTTCCCCCTACAGCTAACGTTTTCTCTTTCTTAACTTCCCCACAATGAAGCATCAGATAACAAGCCACAGATACACCAATAAGTCACCTTCTAGTTCATCTTCCTGCTGGGTTGTGCGCATTACCTACAAAGCAAACATAGCTCTAACGCGAAAAGTACTGATTGTGTTTGTCACCATGAGAACCTTTTCACCCACACTGCACACATCACAGGTATTAAGAGGATTTTTAAGCAGCCTAACTAATAATAAAAAAAGCTATCCAGTCTAAGTGCAATGTGCCCAAATTACGCGCTATGAAAGCCAAGACTTCATTATATTTCAAATGTGTAACTTTGATGTACAGTTATACTCCAACATAAACAGGGTTTTACAGTTTTGCTTCATTTTGTTACTTTTACCTCCACAAAAAGAAAATGAAGGTAGCAGAGTCAGAAACCTCAGACAGATCTAATGAGCACTAAGGTGCCTTGAACACAAGCAACCTTGAGGAAGAGAACTTAAGCCACACAAGGGACTGTCTTCTGGAAATGTATCTTTTCAGTCCCATCTGGTCAAACACAGACCATGCAGTGCAAACCTGTGTGGCAGCACAGACTGGAAGAGAGACAGCCCCTCATATGATACCATTCTCTGAGCTGATACAAGAAGTTTCTGGCTCAAAGACAGAATGGCAGAATTGGGAATGAAGGAGAAATTTTTTAGATTATATCTCAGGTATACTAGCAAAACTGGCTAGTTATAGGGAAAGTGAAAGTGTATAGAGGTCCCAGGGGTCACTAAACCAGAGTCTGGTTTGGTGGCATAGCTGCAAAAACCATGCTTTCCAGTATTTTGCCCAAGTCCAGATTTCCATTTCACTATTAACTTAAAAAAAAAAAAAATAGGGCACAGCAGGAAGTACAGACTCCAAGGCCAATCTACCACCCGATGATCTGTGCGGTGCGCAGGCAGTGAGCTATAACGGATCTAGTCAGGCTTTGCAGCCTCGGGAAGGATGGCCAATCTCTGACCCTCACTAGCTCTTGGACCTCTCAAGAAAAGGAGAGATCACTTACACCTCTCAGGTCTGCTGGGTAGATTCGATAAGACAAATTAAACAACTGGGACAGAACCTAGCATAATGGATTTAAAAAACAACCATAAAAAGCCAGCACAAATATTAGCATTCTTTCCTATCCATATGAAGAAAAAAGCTGGACTCACCAGACGTCCAACTTTAATTTCTTGGTCTAAATGGATGTGATTTAAACTACACTCCATTCCATTTTATGAAATTAAAGAAAAAAGTATGCCACTAAGAGATTAGGGAACCTAAAACCCATGTCTCCTAACATCTTACTACCTTAGTAACCTTCTCTCATGTGCACACACGAATCACCTCTAAGTTTTATAATCATCTTTTCCTCGTTATGTTGTAACACAAATACAAACATATGTGAGTATGAGAACGACTTACAACTTAAATAACCAGGATTTTTAAAATCCCACACCAAACACTAGGTCATAATTCGATATACCCACACAGAATAAATTACTTATTCTGAGAAACTCCCAATTATTACTCTGTGTAGCCATATTAAAGTGTCTGCCTATGTGACAGGCCCCATGTTAACATATGAGAAAAATTACACCAATCCATCTCCAAAGTCAACACTATGAGCACACATCCCCTTGCTGAGACCCTTTCTGAAACTGTACAGACTGAATTAAAAAAGTGGCAGAAGACACATTACACTACATTAGGCACACGCCCTCCAAGCATCAACAGGACCAGAAATTTAAGACAGACAAGACCAGAGCTGAGGCTGGTCTAGAAGGACTAACCAGTCAATAGCATGGCCTAAGGCTCTCACACACCATAAAATCAGTGAAACTAATTGGGGTTCTGCAGCATCTGAGAGGAAGCATTGGCCACCATTATGGAATAAACTGGGGATGCAAACAATTAGTGCACCCTGAGGTGACAGTTAATTCCACCAGCATACCATTTCACAGGAGATATTATGGAATTCCACTTTATCCCTACTCTTGAGAATACTGAAGTTGGAAATTTCAAAAATTAGCCAAATGCCAAATATCCCTTCAACGAATTTTAAATAAGGTCCCTCCACAATTCCCTGCATAAAAAGACCTTGGAATTCTTTGCAGCCAACCAACACACACAGACCCCAATACACTTACATTGTCCACACTTCCAAACAGTCAAATGTTCTCTGAAATCTTTCTCCTGATAACTTTTTTGTACAAAGACAAAAAAACATAAGACATACTCAACACAGATTATAATACAGTACACTTTCTGCGAAGCACAGAACAGTATCTGGGATTTGAGGAAAAACTATGCTAACCAAGTTGAAGAAGGAAAAGGCTGGATACTAAAAAGTGGGACAGGATCTTAAAAGCCAGCGGAGAAACATCCTGCATTTCTCAAGAAGTCTGCCTCTGTACAAAAGCACAAGGTAGTAGACCAAAAACAAACAAACAAACATTAAAAAACCAAAACAAACGAGAAAACCTACCCACAAGCCCTGCAGTGTTTGACCTAGAAGGGAGTCCTCATTTAATAGAAAAGGAAACTGGGAGGCTTGAGAGGGTAGGTAACTTGGCGGGGGTTACAGTTTATTTGGGGGCAAACCTGGAAGTCAATTCCTGGTCTCCCAGGTTGGACCTCACAGCAGTTTCCCACTCTACCCACGTAAGATCTACCCCTGCCACCCCATGTAAAATGTTTCATAAAATTCTTCACTGAAGCTGTTAACATAAGGGTCCAATTATCATTCAGAGATCTGCCTGTTAGATAATAGCTTGAAAATTCCATCCATTTTACAGCAGTTACCAGAGTCATCTAATCTCGGGGCGGGGGGGGGGGGAGCAAAGAGAAAAGGAGGAAAAAGTCCTAATTTTTATCTGTCCCCTAAGGGCAAACGAAAGGGATGCCTACAGACCGGCAGACAGCTCTAGCATCCACAACCACAAAAACAGACAATAATCCCCACCCACAGGCCCAGGAAAGAGACCGCTCTGCGCTCCCCCCCAAAACACACCGAATTCCACTCCCATCGCAGCGCACGGGAGGCATTCCACCTCCAGCCGCTTCCAAGCGAGCTGGCCCAGAGGGGCCGCTCTCCTTCAACCACTCCCCCCGCCCCGAAGGAGACAGGAGCTTCAACCTCAGGCCCCTAAACGGGCGCTCGCTCGCACCCGGGACCACGGGATCCAACACCCGCCCCGCTCACCGCGGCGGGGGGGGGGGGGAGAGGAGAAAACCGCACGCAGGAAGTGTGTCCCGCGCTCCGCTCCCCGCCCCCCCGCGTCAGGACCTTGCGCCCCGCCAGTCGGTACCTGTCCTCCGCCCCCAACAGGCGAGAAGCTGCCGCGTCCACATGGCTTCAGGTGTTCACATGGCAATAAACGGGCCCCCGTCCCTCCCGCGGCAGGGCGCGCTCCGACTCCCGGCTGCCAGCGCCGCTCCCGCCCCAAGCCCAGCCTTCGCCCGCCGGCCTCGCCCCCAGCCGCCACCAAGAGGCGAGCGCCGCGGGACGCCGGGGGCTGCCCGGGGTCCCGGGGTGGGTGGCACTGACCCCGCGGACCCCTGGGCGCCGCCCGCTCACACCCGCCGCCTTTGCACCCGAGGCCGCGACAAGCAGGTACCTTCCGCCGACACCCTAAGGCTAGGACTGGTGCCGAAGCCCTACCGGACTCCCAGGCCAGACCCCTCAGACCCCTCAGCGCCCTAACGCCAGGCCGGGCCCCTTCCCCTCCGCACCCCCAGGCCAGGCCGCTCCTCTCTGCACTCCTGGGTCGGGCCAGGCAGGGACCTTCCCCTCAGCACCCGGTTCCCTGGCCTCGGAGTCCAGGGGGCTCAGCACTTCAGGTCGGCCGGGCTAGGACCTCTGCCCCCGGCCCCCGAGGCCGAACACCCCGGCCCGGCCCCAGCCGCTTAGCTCTGACCCCTGCCCCTCCCCCTCAGGCCCGGGCGGCGGTTACCTGCAGGGGCCCCCCGCCCGGTCCCTCGGCCTCGGCCGGGGGCGGGAGGGGAGGGAGCGGCGGCGGCGGCAGCCGCGGGCGGCGCGGCGCGAGGTGGGGGTGGGGGAGCCTCTGCCGCCTCCAGCTCCGGCGCCCCGGCCGGCGGCGGGGCGGGCCGGGGCCGTGGCCCCTCGAGCCTCGCTCCGGCCCGCGCGCTCGCTCCCCGGTCAGGCGCGCCTCAGGGCGGGCTCCCCCGGCGGAGGCCGCGGCCGCCTCGCAGGGGCCGAAAGCGGCTCGGCTCGGGGTTTTTTCTCTCCATTCTCCCAACACACAGGAAATAACAGAGCGTCAGGTGACGGCGCGCGGCCAATGGGGAGGCTCCGGGCCGCGGCGCGCGGGCGGGCGGGAGGGCGCGCGGCGGGGCGGTGCGCGCGGCGGGGGCGGGGCGGCAGGGGGCGGGGCCGGCGGGGGCGCGCGTGCCCACCCGCGTGTGGCGCCGAGGCCTGCGCTCCGCGGGGCGGAGGCGGCGGAGACCCTCCGTCCGGCGGCCGGGGTCGCGCGGGGCTCCCCTAGGCAGCTGCCCGGCGACGCGCGTGCGGCTGGCCGCCCGCACAGTGCCATTTTGGCCGGCGGCTCCGGGCCGTCCTGGGAGTGGCCGCGAGCCAACTTTCTGGGGAGTTGGTGGCCCGGAATCTCTCCCTGGGATTTCTGGAGTTCCCTGGAGCCTCCAACGCCAGAATCGCGCCTCTGGCATCCTGGGGAACCCGCGGGCTAGGGCCTGGCCTCCCCCGGGGAACCTGCTGAGTGGGGCCGGGCATGGGGGCAGCTTCTGACCGCCAAGCGCCCTTCGTCCGGCGCAGAGGGCCTGGTTCCCTTCCCTCCTCTGCCCCTTAGAGCCGCGTGTCCTTGGATGAATGACTTAGGCTCTCTAGATAACAGATAACTTCCTCAGTTTCCTCCGCAATAAAAGCGAGGAGCTGGGAGGCCCACCACCCTCGCATGTAAAATAGATACTCACCGAAAGCCAGTTGCCTTGGCCCGCGGCGGCATTAAAACGCTGCAGCGCCTGGCTGACTGGACCCAGGGTCCAGAATTAATTTGGAGATAAGGTGGAGGATTTGCAGTGCCAAGGCCTCAGGCCGTTCCCAGCCTTCTTTTGCAAACCTCATGTATGTTTTATGGAGCAAAGGAATGGCTTTTTGGCGGGGGGGGGGGGGGGAGAAAATCTCAGTTGTAGAACCACCACTGGGATGTTTGTTCCCTGTGATCCACTACTATCAAAAGGGAGAAGGCCCGTGGGGGTGGGATGTGTTGGGAGTGTTTGTGATCCTAATTCTGGCTCACATAGGGATCTGGCCAAATTCTCTCCCCGGTCTGGGCCTCAGTTTCCGACTGGTATGTAATGAGGGGAGTTTGAACTAGGTGCTCCTAATGTTGGCTAACATTGCTGATTCTAAATTAGGCCCCCATCTGCCCTAGATGTTAGGGGAGTATGTGGCTTCCTTTCCTGAAGCAACCCAACTTGAAAGTCATTTGGAACTGGAAGAGTGCTTTGGGCAGCAGGTGGAAGTTGACAGGAGCCAGGTGTGGCCTGGGACCGATTTCAGTCCATTTGAGGTACAAAGCTCCCCTGGGCCTGGGTCTACCCTTTCACCTCTAGCCTCACCTAGCCAGAGACAGAAATGCTTTACCTTGCCTCAGCCCACCCAAGGAGGGTCCTGGCCAGGCAACACCTCCCCCAAGTAAAGGAATCCGAGGCAGGGCCTCAGTTGGTCCTGGCACTCAGGAGGATGTGGTTGAGGAAGGCAGTGATTTCTCCTGGCTCCTGTCCAATTTCACAAAGTGGGGGCTGGCTCCAATGTGGGTCAGGGCTATTCTTGGAGACTTGATTCCCCAACACCTCCTGCATGCCAAACCGGGTGCCGGGCTCTTCCGGGGCAGAGCTGAAGAGGCTGCTAGGCCCTGCCCTCTGACTGTTCCATTGTTCTGTGAGTTTCATTTTCAAATTCTTTGGCACTAAGACTTTTAAAAGACCAGTGCTGGTTTCTGCTTGGGTCAGGGCTGCAGAGCGAAAGGATGGGGGTACTCTCAGCACACATGCATGTTTTCTGGACAAACTTAGAAGGATGCAGGAGAGCTTTCTAAGCACAGAGTGGTTGGGGGCACCCTCAATTTCTTGAGAGAACTCATGAAAGGAAGCCCTTTTCCGTAGTCTCCTGCCCCATCCTTCCTTCCTTTCCCCTCTTCCTCAGTTCACTCAGGTCTCAGACGGAGGGACTGAAACGTGAAATGAATGGTCACAAACTGTGCAGAGAGCCTCATTCAAAAAGGAAAGAATGCAGATAGAGAACTTGAGTCCAGGATCTCATCTGCTCCTGCCTCCGGTCCTGGGACTGATTCTATAGCCCCCTCTCTCCCAACCCCTTTGGACCCTGCCAGGACATTGCCCAGCCAACCTCTACCTGGAAACTTCCCCAGTCCCTGGGCCAGGCCAGCCTGGATCTCTTCACCCCTGGTGGCCTGGAGTCACTTTTCCTTTCAGTACCACTTGGAAAAAGAATGTGTGGGCATTATGGCCAACAGACAGATCTGGGTTACTCTTGGGCTGTGTGGCCGGACAAATCACTTCACCTCTCTGAGCTCTGGTTTCCTGAGCAGTAAAAGGGGATAATAAGGTATCATGGGAGCCTAAAGAGATCTGCATAAAGAATTCAGTACAATACCAGGCACATATTAACAACAGCTACAGTTCCACGAGATGGCCACAACAGGACACACGAGCAGACGGAGGCTCGGAGAGGGCAAGTTACCGCCCAAGATTCCACAGTGGCCGGAGCTCAACTGGGGAAGTCCTCTTTGATCACATTAGAGTTCCTCCATTGTTCTCTTGTCTCATCTGCGAGAATCTTGTTTTTCCTACCACTTTAAGGAAGGGACAGTAGATCTGTTTTTTGGTTTTTGGTTTTTTTCCTCTCCTAACCTAGTCTACTGAAAAAATACTTATTGAACTGAATCAGTGGTTTCAATTCCAGAAGCAAAATTAATCCTTTCCCTCCTCCTCCGGCGCAGAGATGGCTTTTGGAAACCCTGTGTCACTCCCTTTATTACAAACTCCTCTGCCCTCCTCCAGGCGCCTGGGCCACTCCAGGATTACAAATGGAGCCTTCTGCCTCTAGGTCACTGATTCCGCTACCATCTGTCAGCACGGATTGATTGAGGAGCCTGGCCTGCTCGGCAGATCAGTGACTTGTGCGAAGTGAGCCGGGGTGTCAGTGCCTTCAGTGGCAGGCGGATGGCCTTTCTCTCCCTCTCTGGCTCTCAGAAGCACGTGCACAGCCCTCACCTTTATCCTTCACCGGGTCCCAGCTCCCCTTCCTCTCTGGAGTTGCCTCCTGCTAACTCTAACACACCAAGAGGGAGGCCTGGAATGCCTGCTCGCCGTCCTCCAGGAGACCACTTACAAAAGCCTCTGGTTAACAGAGTGAGGAACCCCCACCACAGCCTCCTGTGAGGCCTGTCCCAGGCCAGGCACAAACAGCAGGGGTGGCCAGATCCTTTGTGGACATGCCTTCCTTCCACACAGAGCACTTAGCTGTGGGCTAGGCCGTGAGTCCTGATGGAGGGAGCACAGGGGCTCACAATAAGTCCTTTCGGGGCAACAGCAGGGCAGGCTCTAAGGTTAAGGGAATAGGGAAGGCTCTAGAGGGAGTCAGGGATATCAACACTCGTGTGTGCATGCAGCTGCCTGCTGTTCTCAGGAAGGCTGTGCCCAGCACACACACACAGGGGAAGGAGAGCTGAGGTTGCAGAGGGGGGCGGGGTGGGATGCTACACTGACATGCTTCTTCACATGAATTTGTTTCACAGGGTCTCACAGGGACCGCTGCTTAGGAGGCCCACCCTGCCCTCCACCCCACCCTTCCAGGATCAAAACTGTGGCTCCCTCCTCAGCTCCCAGTGGTGACACAGGGCTGTGCGGGACTGTATCCTCCTCTCCCGCGGGGCTGTGAGTATCCGCAGGGCAGAGACATCCTGAGCAGGGCAGGGCATCCTATCCATAAAAATGATAACAGTAGGAATCCCGATACAGACCCGAGGGATCCAAGCTTACTGGGAATGGGCACTGTGGGTTTGTGGCAACCTGATGAGGTTGGCTGAGACTGTTAACCACCCCCGCCATTACAGAGAGGCACCGAGAATTTAACTTGTCCCAAGTCACACGGCTTGGAAGAGGCCATGCTGGGACTGGAACCCGGGTCTTTACAGGCTGCACTCTTAACCACCACGCTTCCCAGCACTCAGTAAACAATGGAAGGATGGATGGATGCAGACAGTTGGCGGGTCACAAAGTCTGCAGGCAGATCAGGCATGAGATAGGAGAGGGTCTGCGGGGTCAGCACCAGCCCTTCCCCACTAGGGACATGTCCAAGCCCCGGAGACTGGGCAGCTTGCAGGCGATGGGCTCTCAGACCCTGCCCCCAGAAGACTGTGGCCTGCCCAAGTGGCAGCTGCTGTTGCGGCGGCTCACTCTTCCCACAGGCGAGCAGAGAGAAAACACTAGAGGAGACACTGAGCAGCTGGAGGCCCCCCACAGCCTGGCCGCAGGGCAGATCACCCCTCAGCACACTTGGCACTCCTGTCCCTAATGGCTTGACTCTCAGGCCCTGGCATGATGGCCTAGCGCAGGTCACTAAACTAGGGGCCCAGCCTGCTCTCAGCTACGTATGTCCTCCAATGGCTCTAGTCTCAGTGTCTCCATCGGGGTGGGAGGAGGGGCTGAGTGGTCTGCCTGCCTCCAGGGAGTTGGGCCCCTTCCCTGGGCAACCCCATTCACTCCTCCAAACAACCTTACAAGGCAGGGACTGTCATCTCCATCATACAGAGCAGGAAATGGATGCACAGAGGTGCTAAGAGATTTGTCTGAGATCACACAGCTAGAAAATAGCAGAGCTGGAATCTGAACCCAGGTTTTGGGCTCCAGGGCCCCACTGAGTCCCTGCCAGCGCTCCAAAGAGTTCGAGATGAAACGGTCTGGCAACAGCAGTGACACACGCACGTTCTAAGCACTTCACCCACATTAA